CCTTCTGTACGTTCTCCAGGGTGAGGTTGTCGGCGCCAACGTTTGTGAGCACGAGTTGTCGCTGTTCACGACCGATGCCACTCCGTCGAAGAAACCACCAGGACAAAACCTTCTGAGGCAGCTCCACGGAGTGAGTCACACGGATTTGCCGTTCAGCTCGTGAGAAGTCAGCGGCATACTCCTGCAACGTCTGGTTCGCCTTGCGGTTCAACTTCACGAAGAACGTCTCGAAGTCTTCGGGCAACTCGGTGAGGGGCTCGTACCTGAAGCCGCGGTCCAGTCTTTCGAAGACAGCGTTGTAGCCGCCGTCTCCTTGCAAGGTCTCGGTGGTCAAGTCATCCACCATGTCCCATGCCTTGCCAGTGAGCAGGGTGACGATATTGAAGATTGTCTCCTGCCGCCTGCCAGCCAGCTCCATCTTCACACGGTACAGTTCACACCGTTTGCGGAACTCCTTGTAAGACCGCTGGTTGTTGTCAAAGACAGGCACGTACTGGTCCGCTTTCCCGGTTGGTGCCCCAGTTGAGGCTTGTCCTTCGGGGCCATTGGATGACCCTGGCTTGCCATTGCCCTTGCCGTTGCCACCCATGTCGTGGCAAGCCTTGGAGCACCGCTTCTGAGCGACGCTCCGCTACCAACTTCAAGAGAGTCGGTTCCAATCCCTCTTGTATCTGCAGCACACGAAGTCAGCAGATGTCAAAGCAGCTGTTTTGCATGAGCGCTGCGATTTGGCTCTAGATCCCTCCCTTGAGCAAAGCGGCCCGTAGCAAGAGAAAGGTGAGCAGCTGACAACTGCTCTCACTGTACAAGGACCTAGCAGGTTCTTCACACAGGGGAGGAAAGGAAAAGTTTCGGCTCATCGGGAGCCTGCCGCTTGCGAAGGAGGAAAAGAAACAAAAAGGCATCCGCCGCCCCTTAGGGGCAGTCTCTGCACTTCCGGACGCGCCGATTGGCGTGACCATTAAGGTGACCGCACTGAGCAGTCGTATGGTACACGCGTCCGTGGGAGGACAAGAAAACTTCAGCACTTGGAGCAGGTGGTGGAGGTACTGAGCGGGCTTCTCCAAGCTGTCGCTCGAGTCCATGGATCTCGTCCTGGAGTTCGGCCACCCAGTGGCAGTAGCGATCAATCTCACTGTCTCGCTCCTGTACCATGCGGCTGTATTGGTGGTCGCGTTCAAGAAGTCCACGCCGGTACTGGGAGTCGTCTTGTT